ACCACTGGAATCTCAGGTGAAGCAGGGGATTCGAAAGATCTGGAGTATTTAAAAGGGGCTTGGACAATGCGGCTTATAGTTGTGGTCCAGCTAAAGCATGCTAAAGCAGGAACCTCCCCACCGGTGCGACGCCACGTGCCGCAGCGCGCGCAGACAAACCACCCCACCCAGGACTCGTGCCCGACGCCGCTCGCAGCGCTCTGCGGCGGTGCTGCCGCCGGCGCTGCAGGGCGACGTCGGCGCCGGGCGCGCGCAGCGCCCGTGGCCACGGCGCAGCCAAAGGTCGTGGAGTCGGCAGTGATTTTTGAGGCGAGGTGGTGCGAGGTGGGGTGCGAGCTTGGATGGTTCAGACTAAAACGATTGAACATTGTACAAACTAGCTCACCCCTTACTGACCCCATCTGATCACACGCTGCTATGGCCACTCGCAGACGCTTGCAGGTTCCTGCTTTAGCATGCTTTAGCTAGACCACAACAATAAGCCGCATTTTCCAAGCGCCTTTTGTCTACTCCAGATCTTTCGAATCCCCTGCTTCACCTGAGATTCCAGTGGTTTGATAATTTCGACAACATCCTAAGGGATGTTCGACAACATCTGCCAGGACTTGTTCTCAAAGTCCAACCGTGCGGCCAAGCTCCTGTCGGATCTTCCAAATGCGCTGCCCATGTCGGCCCTCAGTAGCTACACCGCGGTGCCGCTCTTGTCGGCTGTGGCCGCGTGGGTTTGCCCAAGGCACACGCGGTTGGCGCAGCTCTTGGCCGGAGCTCTTGGGTGTTTGTTGGGCACCTTGGTGGGAGCCTTGGACGAAAAGAATCGGTCAAATCTGTCTCCAACTATATAGAGTAAGTGATTTGGATATATTTGGATAATGAATTTCAAGACGTGACCCCAAAAAAAATCGGCCATTCCCAAGACGAGAAAACCTTCCTTCACCGAACAGCGGCGCCGAGATTCCTCACCTTCCTCTCTTTGTTGATCAATTGTTTCTTCACAAACCAAGGAGCGTTTTTGAAACAAGCCAAGAAGGATGCGGCCAAATGCCTCTTGGATTTCATGTTCTGCTTTTGTGCATCTTCATGGGATCTGGGCATCCCATCGAAGCGCATAGGCATAGAGCTGGCTCCATTGCGGTATGTGACGGTATGATGCAATGCGGTGTAGTATATAGACATTCTTAGGAAAGGAGCAACCGCACTGATTTTTCTCAGTTTGAGAGTCTAAGAGTCTTCTGATATCAATATCAACTTGAAGTATCTTCAGGTGCATTAGAAGTGCAACCTTCTACTTCACCGTCCCGCGAAAGCTCGGCGCTTCTCAGTGGTTTCACTGTCCCGAGGCGCTTTGACGCGCTTGCTGTCGATGCATTTGGATCAGGAAATGCCCATGGAAGACTTGCAAGAGCTGGTGCGCCAGCAGCGGAAGCGCTTCGGTGTGCCGGTCGAGGAGCAGATCAGCGAAACCTGGGAGAATACCTCCCTGTCGCCCGGCCCGACGACTCTGGATTTTTTTGGGGAGGTGAAAACGAAGCAGCAAAGAGGTGAACTTGGTTTCCAGACATGCTGGTACCGTCAGAGGAACATTCTGCGAAAGGGGAACAGCATCGTTTTGTCTGATGCCTGAGAGTGCTCGATGCCTCTACTAGTAGGAGTTGGTCTTTTAGGGCCTTTTGTTGGGGAGCTGGCAGAACAAACATAGACTTCTGGTCATGGAACTCAAGCAACTTGAGCGTGTATTCTTTATCAAGTTGTTCGATTACTCTGCACGGATTTATGTGGTTTGAAAGGGCAGGCAATCGAGACTTTGAAGAGTTTGTGCAGATTCTCATTTTGTTGCTGAGGGGCGTTGTTCATTGTTTTGTTGCGCTCAATTTAGAGAAGAGTTGTGCGCACTTGAATTCGTCAACCGGTGAATGACTGGATTTACATCGGTGAGTGCGTGTGCAAGCAGACTCAGCAGACTCGCTACAGCTTTCCAGAACCCCCTACGATTTGCATTAAGTTGATCTTTGCATGCTAAGATCTGGAAAGGACTGGAAAGGTACTGTAATTACTTGATACGACTTGCTGTACTATCCTGTGCCTGTGAGCACATTTCTGGACACGCCGAGTCAGTCTGCTTGAGTTGGGCCGATGTCCATCTCCGAGGCAACGTGTCTATGAAGAACTCCTCATGAGCTTTTTGGACAACCCGGAGCACAACAGCGACATGACTGATAAGACGGGTGTGTATGTGTGTGTGTGTGTGTTTTTCTTGGGGGAATCTTGTCTTATAACGTGGATGACAATGAAGATAGTGTTATCATGGTTGGTCCTGTAGTGACCTCAAACAGATAAAAACAGTGAGCCCCTTCTACCGTTTTTTTTGAAGTCGTTCAATCTATTTATAGGTACCTCTGAAATGCATAAGCCAGCCACATGATTATCACGTTTGGAAATCTTAGGTTCTTGTTGATCTACCCAAGCTGTTGATGTGTCATCTCACACCTGTGGTTCTGAACTATTTTGCCGGAGAACACGGACATGTTCATTTAGAATCGCATAAGACTTTTTGGAGGACTTCGGAATCTATGAGACGTTCTATGAGAATATGATAGAATAGGATTTCTATCTATGTGCTTCCTGTTCGAAATCGGCAACTCGAGTTCTGCTTGGCATTGGAAACCTTGTTTTTGTTTCGATACTTTTTGTACTCGGTGCCAAGGTACAAGCTAGATAGCAATGGGCAACACATCCAGTTGAAGCATTGGATTAATTTTTCAGTTGCAAAAAAAAAGCAAGTTAACCCACACGCAAATTACACTGCGGAACGACTGGCGGGTTTCGACAGTGCAGGAGCGAGTTTGCAGATTTTGGTCTTGGGCTGACCATTGACCATGCAACAGAGCTGAGACGCTTATCTTTTTTGTTTCATTGCCACACCATAAAACATATAAAACAATGATTCAAAGCTCGTGAGACAGCTTGAGACGACACTATTTTAAGGCCTGTCCGGAGGAACCCACTCTGACTCAGACAACAATCCTTTCAGATTTTCTGCACACCAGAAAGAAGATCGAGCTCCTTGCCTCACAAGTAAAGATAGGGTGTCACCCGGCAAAGACCCCTGGTAAGTACTGCTCAAATTGAAAAATCCTTCTCAATTCAAGCCCTGAGGAAACATCATTCAATTCAATTCATTGCCCCCTTTGCTTACGTCAAACCGATTCCTAAAAAAATAACAGTTTCATTCATCTCCCCACTCAGAGATCTCCCGGAAAGCGATCAGCGCCGCACGGATCGCTTGAGGTGATGAGCTGGCATTGTTGGTCCGCCTGAAAGAGGTCCGCAGAAACACCAGCGTTTTGTCATTTTCCATGCGTAGTTCTTTCCCATGCTATTATACAGTACATGTGTGTGTTACTGTGTTAATTGCTGTACTTGTGTTCTTCAAAAGTGCTTGGCTGATGGAGCAAAATTGTGTTTTCTCTTGCCGTTACATGGCGTTGTGAAAGCACCGCGAATGGTGCTTTTCATGTCTTTTCTCTTCTTGTGTCCTCGGCCACAGAAACATGTCAGACAGACCAAAAACTACGTTTGTAGGATGGAATCTTTCCATATCGAATCTACTTCTTTCCCTGCTCTTTATTGCAGGGCCAACCTGATGCTCTGTGGCCTCCTGCGAAGGTCCTCCAACTGGATGGCATTGTGGCGGGCAACGCCCACCGACACTGCGCGCAGCTCTTGGTGGCCAAGGGCTATGGTGGTTTGGAAGGCGACGAAATGAAGCTGGCGACGGTTGCTGGGCTATGGGTGTTGGGCCTGGATTCGGGTACGAGTGAAGGGGCAATTTGAGTTGAGGCCGGCGATGGTTTGGACGGTGTTGGGCCCGAGGTTGGAGCTGTTTGTTCTAGAATCTAAAATTAGAAGGGGCTTCGCTTGGTTTGGAGCCTGGAGGTTTGTGTCTTTGGGACTTTGTTGATTTGAACTTTAAAGCGCATGATGTTGGTGAGGTTTGGATGGTGTTGTTTGGATGGTGTTGGGTTGTTTCTTGGCAGATGTGCCAATTTCCGGGAGGTCTTGCAATTTACATCTGACAATATATTTAGAATTACATATTTAGAAATCACCTGCAAGTGAATTCGTGATCCCCGGCAACCTGGGCCTGGCCGGCCCATTGCCTGTCTATTTGCCGGATCCCATGCCGGATCGCTGGCCGTGGTCGGTGTTTCGGCGCCGAGGACAAGCTGCTGTTCCTTTCAGAACGTATTTTCGCCTCTGAGGCACTGAGGTCGATGGCGTCGAGTTTGGGGAACGGATCTAGAGGCTTTGAGAAGCTTTCAGAGGTACATACAAGGGGTACGAGTGGAAGGGGATGGCAAGAGCTATCATTCTGATGTAACGCCAAAGTCCTCCAAGTTTCTGGCTGTTTCATTAACGAACAACCCGAAACACTCCAAAACAATCCCAAGACCACCCCTTAGGACTGCAAGAGTTGGGCCAAACACTTCCATCCAATGGGGCACCTTTTTTTACAGGGTCCCCTTGAGCCGAACCACCACGCACCCACGCTTCCACGTTTGGGCGAGGTTCCCGAGGAGGCCGGTCGCTATGAGATGGGCCGGCTGTGCGCGGTGCTTCAGCTCAGCTGCTTGGAGCTGTGACCGTTCCGGCACGGCACGATCCCGTTGGTGTCGGCGTGGTGACCGAGCTACGGCGTTGGGGTTTCCGGCTGCAACTTCTTCAACCCATCTGGTTGAAGTGGGGACACCCCACTGAAATGCAGGTGGAAATAAAGGCTCCTCCAGGCCATAGACACTTAGGGCCTCAGGGGAAAAGGAGACTAAGGAGACGTGGTGTTTACTTTGGAAGTCCCTCAAGTGGATCTGCAATGGACGGGTGGATGGACGTGGATGGACGGCATGCCGTGATGGCACCCTAGATGCTCCTGGTACCCTGGTAGCGAAAGACCATGTCTGGTACAGTGGATTGAGAGTAGATGGCACTGGCACCCCAAGATGTCTTTTGTATAGGGGTCCATATAAACCACCTAACTTGGGGATTGTGCCATCTACTCTCAACCCACTATAATTAGGTCGTTGATTCATGTTTGGGCAAAACCAGGGTGAGTTGAAGTGCCATGACCCACAGCCATATTACCATACATGGTTTGGTTGAGTTTTGAGGTCCAAAGGAACTGTTGCGGTGCTCACCTAACGCATGCAGGAAGTCGAGGAAGTGTTGTGTCGAAATCGACGGTCTGAGGAATTGCAAATCGGAGGACATCACTTTGGACCCCGACCAAAGTCCAAAGGGTGGGGCAACAGACCACGCATGTTCATCGATTCATTAGTGAATTAGTCTCAGTGGACACCCCATGTTGCCACACGGTTTGTGCTGTCGTCCGATCCAAACCACCCTTCTTTTGTGATGTTCTCTCCAAAAGGTGCCAGGCACCCCAGTGGTCATCGCCATGGAGTCATCCGCGCTTGGTGACTCGTCGCCGCGTGTCCGCGCTGCAGGCAAGAAGGAAGCGGTGCAGCGCGTCCGTGAGGTCTCCATCGAGCTTTTTGGCGAGGTCCGTGGGGTCGAGGGAGACCTCACGTTCTTCGGCTCCTGAGAGATGAAGGTAAAACGATGTAAAACGGATTAAGGTAAAACGGTGAACGTGCAACCCATGCAGCCCAACTAGATGGAGCAGCAAGATGAGGGTTTGAAGGTGACATGGTAAAACTATCGACTCATGTTTGCTTCTTCAATGTGAGTCATTGAGTGACCGAAGCAAACAGGAGATCCAGGACGGTCACTTGGTGAAACCACCAGGATGACGACCATGTGCATGACGTACACGTGTGCAATCGTGCATCGTGTGGTATATCGCTCAAATCAAATTGGTTTATCTTGAGACATTGAGCTCAACCTTTCAAGCTCACCGCGCAGGACAAGACCTCTGGGCTGGACCAAGACGATGCCTGGGAGTTTGCTGAGCAGATTTTGGGGAGATGTCCTGTGCAAAAGAACGTATTTTATTTTAGGGGGGGCGGAATCCCACAAGATCTTCCTTAACTTCGGGGAATTGAATGAGAGAACCACATGTTTCTTGATTTCTCGCATGCACATCCTTTGTCCTTGGCGAATTGCTTCCATAAAGTGCTTCTTCTACCAAATCCTTGCTAAGGATGCGAGCTCCTCCAAGTTCTTCCGCGTTAGGCAAGAGCTGAGCGACCGCCTACGGGTGATGTACAACACCGCCTGCAAGGCTCGTACGTGCTGGTGAGCGGGCGCGCGTGAGCGGGCGGAAATGATGTTCATTCATGGAGAGGGGCGTGGTTTGGATGATGGATAAAGGAGAACACGCCCCTCTCCATCATCCAAACACTGGATTTGGATGATGGTTTGGTTTTTGATGTTTTTGTGTCACACTCCGAAGACTGACAGCTGCAGCTTCTGCAAGACTTTACCTTCCAGCTTCCTACAAAAAAACGACATGGAACCGTGCTTTAGACCTTGCCGGTCTTGCAAGTAAATGGGAACAAGAGCTTAGTTCCCATGTACGCACCCACCGTTACGCACTGCTATGCAACCAAAGAGGCTTGCTTGTCACCGTGGCTTGCTCGTTGCCACATGTGATTTGAGATGGGCAACCCATGAGTTGGAGGAAGATGACCAGAATGTACACTCCCGATGTCACTCACATAGACCCTGACTGTCTGGCCCTCTGGAAGATGGTTTTCCTCCACCAACCGGTTTTCAGGGTCCATGTTAGTTAGTCTTCCAGGGTGTAGTGAGTAGGAGGAAAGGGGAATGTCCTGAAAGTCCAAATGTCCTGAAAGCCTCTAACCACCTGTAAGTGTTTGGGTTGGAGGCGATTGCTAGTAGGTTGGCCGGGCCAGAATTTTTGCCCTAGGAAGCTTTTGTGGATGTTCACCTAAGAATCACCAACTGTGTTAACGCCAAGGCCTCCCGCAACAATGCTCAAGCAGCTTTGGCCAGCATGGACGAGATGGCACCATGACCGCAGTAACCTGTGGATTTGGCCTTCTTTAGAAGATGAATGTCAGGGTTGTCCTAAGATGTGATCGATGTTCAAAAGGGTCCAGCGGCTTTGATGTTGCTGCTACGCTTTGGATTAATGGAAGGTCCTCCCACTTTGCGACAAATCCATGTCGATTTCTTGAACATACCTATATAGCATTACCTTAACTATGCTTAACCATGCTCATAGCTGGCAGCAGAATCATGCAAGAGCGGGTTGGAGGCAATCGCTAGTAGCTAGTAGGTTGGAGCCCATTGCCAGTAGGTTGAAGGCCATCGCTCTTAGGGTGGAGGCCATCGCTATTAGTTTCCCATCGGTGGCAGGTGCAGTAGAATCTATTGAATCCCTGGCTCTATTATACTTCCCCCCATCCCTTTGGAGCTACGTGCGCAACAAACGGGCGCCACATGAGGTGGAGTTTGCCAAGTCCTCCGAGCCGGTGCTGAGCCAGTTGTTGCAGGACCCCGCTGAGGCGGCCTTTGTGGAAGGCATGGAACCCACCTTGACCTTGACCGCAGACCCCCTGCCGGGCCGAAGACTGTACGGTTGGGGGCGCTCAGTTTCTACCGGAGAGGAGAGCAGGCGGCGGTCCAGGAGAGGTTGTTGGCAGGGACCACTGGAAGATGGTATGGGCAGAGATAGGAGGAGAGGAGATAGCAAGAAAGTGCTACCCAAGAACGATAAGTGTGTTCTTGCTCTTTATTGTGGATTCCGATTTGGATATGTAATGATATGTCTCAAAATCAGGATCTTTAAACTTACAGTGTTTTTTGGCCACTGTCCCGAACAAAATGAGCACCGTTTGCAGGTTTCTCACTTGTTGAGACGAAATCATGTTGAAATATGTTGATCAAAATAATCTTTGTAAGTGAGCACCCTCACACACACACCCCAACTATCCCGAACTACCCTGTATATCACCATGTATCCCAACAACGTTGACCAAACACATCTGTCGAAACCACTGCACGGCCTCAGGCAGCCTGTGTCAGGTCAACTGATGTTTTGCCAGGTCAACTGATGCCTTCCAGGTTTCTTTTTTTGGGATTCGAGGTGTTCGAGGACTCCTTGCAACACCATCGCTGGCCATCGCCGGCCGAGGCCTCTTCTTCGAGCGGGCCATGCAGGGCTCCGCGCCCAGCGCCGTGAAACCTGAGGAGTTCGGTCGGTTCCTCGACGCTGTTCCGCTCGGTTCCTGTGGTTCGGTGAATATGGCACACGCATGGGGCACGTGCATGGTCGTTCGGGTCCGTTGGTTTCTCCATTGCCGTAGTCAAGATTTTTGCAAGTAGTCGAGATGTAGTTGAGACATGTTGAGAGTCTTGGTGGATTTCCCTTTTCCTGGTTCATGGTGTTCATGTTTGCGTGGGAGGGGGCACTCGGGATGGGAGGTTGTTTGCGAGTGCAAGACAGGAGTCGGACCAAGGAAGATGAGGTCTCAAGGGAAAGTCATGATCAGTGATGTACCTGCATGTTCTTCCATTCCCCATACGACATTCTCCCTTGAAAGTTCATTTGAATTCGTTGCTATAGCTCCCCCTATAGATCCAATAATTATACTTCAGAGGATGAGAGCAAGATGCATGTGCCTACATGCACCTCTTCTTTGGTGCTCTTGGATCCACTCGCCCTGGGAAACCATTCACCTTCTCAACCAACACTGAGTCCCCACGCACTGATGCACCGAGACGCGCGACCTTGTGGACTGAGGTTGTTGGAGCTGTCGGACGATGACATGGAACGTGCCAGAGTCGACCTTTGTCAGCCCAAGTTGCTGCTTGGCCCATCGATTTGCGGGGAGAAACACCAGCACGGAGTGTCAGCCTTCTTTGGGGGGGAGAAACACCAGCGTCGTTGGTGAGCGCTAATGGTGAAAAACATCGGAAATCCCGAGTCCAAAGGTATCCAAAGGTGCTATTGCAATTCATTCTTGCAATTTGTTTGAGTGAAAGTTACCGCATCCCACGGCCATGTATAGTACATGTACTCTCCTTTCCCCTTTGGGTCAACGACATGACCTCACTGCATCACAGTTGCCTCCAAATATATGATAAACAAAGGGATTTGCTATTTTGCATGTGGGACATCCTGCTATCTAACAGTCAGTCACTTCTTTTGAATACTAAGTATTTGGTGTTGCTCATGAAGAATAGGGAACACCCAAGTCACTGTTCACAAGCAAAACATCACCATCCAGCTCACCATCCGAAGTTTGCATCCACGGTCTCGTTGGTCTTCTGTTGAGGAAGGAGCTCTATGAGTCCTGCATTCAAAAGGCAGAATCCACAAAGAAGCCATTGGCTGAGCTGAAGCCAGAAGTCAGCGATCAGACGCTAGACAGCAAACTAGACAGCAAACATGATTCAGGTGGGTGGGTGGCTAACAAGTAGGTCGAGCAGGTCGTAGGTAGGTGGTCCAGTGGTCGCATGGGGTTGGATAGGAGAAAAAGAACACAAGCTGCATGGGTGGTGATGCAAGATTTTAGGGTTTGCATGAAGTATGGCAGCAGCAGCTTTCAAGAGGTAGGATCGAAATGGAGAACACCTACCAAACACGCAGACAAATGTATCAGCACGTTCACTTATTGGAGAATCCAGAGAATCCCTTCACTGGAGAAAACAAACTGCTGCATCATCACGTGCACTATTCCCCAAGCCTGGGCAGCTGAAGAGGGATGAAAGATAACAAAAGGGAGGGGAGGGTCACAGGGATCACCTCTGAAGATTTCATGAAGTTGATGTTCTTCGAACAAGCTTTTGGAAAAGATAATTTTGTTGCTTCGTGCAGCACCGTTGCGTCCACTTGTCCTATCTCTTCGTGCGACACTGGCCATATCTCAGGATGGCCAAGTTTCAGTTGCCATACACTGCGGTGGAAGATACAGCATTGGAGGCGGCAAGGGCTTGACATGGTTTGACCGTTTAAGCCAGCCACCGCCTAGGATAGCCTCCTGATCAGGGTGGTCCAACACGTGCCTGCAGAAGACAGTTCCAACAGTTCTAACAGTGTGTTTGGTCATCACTGCGAAGTGATTCCAGGATCTCCAAGTTGCAGTGTTCAACAGAAGCTATGCTTGGTCTCATGAGAAGCTGTCATGCAGAAGCTGCGCTGTGACGATCAAGCTTAAGACACTCGCACGTGCGTTGGACCGATGACCGGATGATGCGAACAAAGAGCTTCTTTGGTTTAAGACAAGTGTCTGTTTCAATTGATGTAGCGAATGCAGGAATGTGTGGCCAGCTTCCTTGTTTCAGCTGGCACGTCGCAGAATCTCTGGATGAGGATTTCTGGGTTTCGCGCACGTTTGGGGACAGACAGACAGACAGGGCTCATAATAACCCCAAGTCGTGGGGTTTAATTTGCTGTTGGAAAACGTTTCAACCAGTGCGCTGGAAGGTTTACAAGTCCTTCGTCGAGAAGGTTGGTGGACAAGTGCTGAAGACAGCCGAGAAGGAGCAGTTGGATAAGATCAGGCCAGGGCAAAACAAACAAACAGACAACATAGTAACTAGTAGCTATTATTAATGCCCTTGCTACTAGTAACGATGCACCTTGTCAGAATCAGCATTGTTGTTCCGTTCTTGTTGGGAACATACTGACATGCGCATCCCAATGCATGCAAAAGGCATCGCAAGAGCACGAGCAAAAGCCAGGTGGCATTCCACAGACCAAGGAACTGGATGCAATCCTGAGTCCTTTCAGTAGGCCCAGTAGGCAAGAGTTGGCCAGTTTGGCTACAGCATTTCCCTGTGAGCCCTTTGTTTGTTTGGAGTTGCACCGGGAACACTGTAAATGGTCGGATGCATATGGGAAGTTATCACTGTCACCAGCAATGAACCCTGGACATGATTCAAGAACTTGCCAAGAGCTTTGGCAGAGATCCACGCTCTGATGTGGGATGTAAATGCTGAGATGCTTTCCCAACTTCTTGATGGTTTACCGGACTTCTTCCCTCAAACAGTACTGCGCATGAATAGTATGTTGCACCATTGGCAAATCACATCTTATTCCATCCTGTTTGGCATCATTTTGCACTGTTTCTTCATGAATTGCCACAATGCCCAAGGGAATTCCTGGAGCTGGAGAAGGACAGCGTGCGTCGTATGCACTTGAAGGCCGGGGGTTGCCGCGCTTGGACGTACTTCACGAGTTCCAGCTCTCACACACGGACCGGAGGTTCCCACTTTTCGGAGCGTTTGATTAAAGACAACATGTGATCCTCAGCTGCGTCTAGAGAATGATACATCACGGTATATATATAAGCCCAGAAGCAAGGGGAACACCGACACGTTTTCCAACTTGTTTATTTTGGTCTTGGATTCACACCCATGGTGTCGAGACGAGCACTTGGAATTTCCAACGTCCCACTCCGTTAGGTCGTATGAAGTCGGTCGCGTTAGGTTGTATGAAGTCGGTCGCGTTAGGTCGTATGAAGTCGGCTTGGGCCATAGCTGCTCTTTTGGTTTCTGCCTATACCCCCTTAGTGCAAGAACATGCATGTGTCATAAGTGTGAGGCTCGTTTTTGGCTCGTGAGGTGCAGAATGGCGATCACCTGGAAGACCACAGTTAATTCCAATCACACCTACAGACATGGCTCTTGGTCACAAGATATCACACGATAACAACGACCACGACCACGACAGGGCTTGAACAGCAAACAACCAATCACAAGCAGCACCAACTCGTGAACCATCCAACTTTGACCCCCACACGTGTCCATAGCTGCAATCCAGGAGTTCCTCAAGGTGGTATTTAGATGTATTTCGTATGTGGTGGGTTTTCCACTTGCATGCTTCTTTCAGTCAGGCGTTCTATCAGTCTCCTCCACAAGACTCCTCCGTCTTCCGCGAAAACCGATATGGGGAGGGTCCTGCCGCGCGCCGCGCCGCGGGCGCCCTCCGCCGCCGATCGACAGGCGTTCGCCTCGGTCTACGAGTTCAGCGTCCGAGAAGCCTTGGGCCGTTCGCAGCTGATCACCGCTGAAGCGCAGGACGAACCGCACGCGCGCGGTGAATTTTGCGATGCAGCATGGTACGGAGGGACCGTTTGGGACCCGGAAAAGGTGGCATTTTTCAGATGGGATGTGGTAAGGGCAATGAATGATGAAGCTCTCATTGGGAATTTTGGAAGGATTTTGTTTGGCTGAGAATCTTTGATGTAAATTCAACATATCAGCTTACACGTGACTCTCAAAAGAAATTGGTCTCTCATGTTTGTCCGGTGAAAGGAGGTGTTTTCAGGGACAGAAATTGCAGCATTTCACATCCTCCAAATCAGTCGTTCCTTGAGGCTCTTTGTTTTTTCGGACATTTTCACGTCTTCGATCTGGTTCACCCTTGACCCACGGTGTGTCTCATGTATGTTTCACCGTGTGTTTGGTGTTTGCTCTATTGCAGGAGGCGCTGGTGCAGTTGGGAGATCGCTTAGGCCTGGAAGAAGAAGATACAAAGAGACCTGGCAGTGCATCGCACCTTTCGCAGTGCGCCCGATCCGACTAACCAGGGACCGATCCGAGTGTTGTTGGGGCCTCCTTCTTTTTTCGGCTGGTTTTTGGGCCAGTTGAACCTATACTCTAATGGGATTTGAGAAGAAGCTCCATTTCACAGCTTCGGAAGTTGAACACATCGGAAGTTAGAGATGGGTCAAAACCATAGGCTTTTGCAAGATGAGGAGGTCATGAAGATGCTCAGGTGCCCAGTTTAGGACCTCTTCGCTCGGCCTTTTCGCGGTGCGAAGGCCGGTGTCGGTTTCTTCGATCGGATTTAGCAGCGCAGCGAGCCAACCCCGGATCTCAATGGTTCGCAGAAACACATGAACGGCTCCATGCATTTTTTCGGAGGGTTTGGCGCCCAGGAAGATCTTCTATGGTGTGATCGAGGAGAATATCAAGGAAATGATGATTCCAGTGAGAGATGCTTGGGAGGAGGCTACTTACACCAAAGAGGTGCCCTGTCATCTGGCGAGTGTTCTGTTTTTTTTGTCGCTTTCTGCATGTGTTCACAATCTGACCTGTGGAAGGACGGGATATCTCGATCTGTTTGGATAAGCAGCTGAAGAAAGTCCTACATGAGTCAATGACGGTTTGATCTTTCTGGTTGGGTTTTAGGGAGGGAAGTAGCTGACAGATGAGGAAACTCAACTGGCAAAGTCTAGTCGTTTGAAATCCAGCCAGCTTTTGGCGAGGGTGTTTTGTGCACATGTTAGTTTTCTGCAAGGTTTCCAAGCTGCATGCCATTATTGTGGCTTTCTGAAGATCCATAGGTCGACCACGAAGGATTCAATCAATTCTTGAGACCCTAAAAAAAAGCCCTAGGGCCCTAGGGAGAAGGAAGCCTTTTGGCAACAATGCGACCAGCCAATCTTAGGTTCACATCAACAGCCAATCTGGGACGTTCATGGGTTTCATGGTTGGGACGTAAAACGATTCTTCAGACTTCAGACCCCAACTTCCTTCCCGTCTTCAGACCTGCCGTAGATCGGCCAACGGATCGCGGCCGGTTGATCCACCACTCATGCTGGAGGACCTGATGCTGGCTTGAAGTGCTCATCATGGTAGAACCCTAACTTTTGCAAATCCAAGTCAATTAATTAGTATCCGTGGCTATTGCTTTTGAGGAAGGCGGCTAAAACACTGCTCTTAGAATCTCTTAGACATCTACAACATTCCACAACAATAGCTCATTAGAAGTCATTTGCCCCCTTTGCATGCGGGGATGTTTTACAGTGAGTTGCATAGGTTGGTTAACGACATGTCTTCGAAGTGTCTTCTCTTCGTCGTGACCGTGTCGCGTGGCTGCTAGGCAGGACCGATCCACGTTCGGCGAAACGGCACGTGCTGCGTCCTTCACTCACGAGGCCTTGCTCCAGCTGAACAAAGAGCGCGGAAAGGACCTGGGTGACGACCCCACCGCTGACGGCACTGGAGCGGAGCTCGGCATCAAGGACCGTCGACGGAGCTCGGCATCTGAATCTGAAGAGTGGTCGATGGAAATGGTAGTGCTCGGGAGCGAGTAGGAGTGGAATGAGAGGGACCGTGTTCTGGTTGTTACTTCCTCTTCCAGGTCCTTCATCGCAAAGGGCTGATCTGATGACTGTTCCACATTGACCCAACCGGGCACCCGATCTGCACAGCTATGGCCGCAGGACAGCCCTCCTTTGGAGGGCGTGAGAGGCTTCAAGCTGATGGAAGAGCTCAGCAAGGCTATGACTATGAAGGGCTGGTTGGATGTGGTCAACAATTCGTAGTGATTTTCATATTATAGATTTAGACTTGAGATAGCAAAAGTATCGAAATGATGTAGAAGATCGCCAAAGTGAATTTCATCCAAGGACACATAACAATTGAAAGTAATCTGTTTCATACATGTTCGTTCCGAGGCCTTCGCTCCAAAAGAGTCACCAAGCGTCTAAGACGGCGTCTAGACGAGGTATATAATTTGGACACCAGCTGTTGCTGGGTCCCACTTGTAGGTTGGGATGCGGGGGATCTGGTTTGTTTTTGATTTTAAACCAGAGGTCTTTGGGGAGTCTCCCTCTTCAAGTACACACCCAGGTATGTGAAGAAGCCATAGATTGTGACTTGTTTGGCCTGGCTAGCACTTGAAGAATCTCGCTCCCAGTAGCAATGTCCTTTATATGTCTTCAAGGCTGGGAAGCTTACCCTAGAAAAGAAAGAAGTCATACGTAGGGACTCACAGACCCAAGAGAGTGTACTAGTTATATTTGTTCAACCCCAACTCAGGTTCCTGTCGTGTCTGAACCACAAAGCCCATTTGTTCATTGTTATTTGCAGATTGTCGTCCAAAAGATACACTTGCACTTGTACAATAAGACAAGCAAGCCTCTCAGCATATCCCAGAAAAGAGAACACAAAGGAGGCAGGAACGCAATTCAAAAAAGAAAGGTCTAAAGGTTGAAAGAAGAAACAATAAGAAAAGGAAAGAACTGAAATAATAAAGGAACACTTGCAAAACATCGAGAGAGAGAGAGAATCCTTTTGACTTACTGGGTGGGCTCACTGCCTTGAGGTGGCTGACTTCTACACCCGCAACAAGGTCTTGAAGGCTCGATGTGTGATGCGGAGTCCCAGGTCTTCCATTTACGCTGTTTCTACAGAGCGGTGTTGTTGGGTGCTATTTGTTCTGTTCCATTATTCTTGTCTACGTTTCTTTTTCTTTGCTTGTATTCTTTTGATCTTGAGACCTGTTTCCTCCTTCCGTTCATTCTTTCTGTGTTTCTGTCTCTCTGTTTGTTTGTCTTTCTTTCTTCCTTTTTTTCTGTTTGTCTGTCTGTCTGTCTGTCTTTCTTGCTTCAACTTCTGATAAAGACCGGTGTGCTGGAAGATATTCTACTATAGTTTGTCAACACCCCAGTCTCTTTCACTCTGCATTTCTGGGAGCCGTTCGACATGGGTTTCAGACCTTGAGGCCGAGCCAAGCAGCCCCTTTTTCCGACACATGTGGAAAAAAGCCCAGTCAGAGGAACCCACGGGTAGGTAGAAAGTCTGTTTATAAACTGGGATTTGCTGTGGGTATTTGGGACAGTTGTATACTTTTGTGAGGTAATTAGATGATTCCTTGTCCCGTCACGTGAATCGCCCTTCCATTCTGTCCCAGGAAGATGCTCCTGAGCCCATTGACGATGACGATGAAGCTTGGGCTGAAGCCTACCCAGTGCAAGTTGGGAAGTGGATCGAAGACAAGAACAAGGAGGAGATCTGAAGCAGCGGGCAACTCTGACCACCCAGCTATCCAAATCTTTGACTACGATAGCCCATCATGCCCTTCTCTCACTTAGCGCTTCAACCCAGAGCTCAGAGCTTTATTTAGTCAAAATTATCGAGAAGATTCAAGGCTCTCCAGGCATTCATACCAAACAACATCCAACGACGCACTGGCTTCTCTGCTATCCCCGGCCCACAGGAACCGTGTTCAACGTCCGGACGTTGCATCACGCGTTACGTACCACGCATCAGACGTTGCCACGCGTTGGGCGCATGCGAGCTTCGCGTTGTGCGCGCTGACCGGTCGAAGCCCTTCGGGTCCAGGAGATGTTCGGTATCTTCGCCTGGAACGCCATCACGTGTCAAGACACCACCTCCCGCGAGCGATGGACCAATGCCAAGCCCACCGTAGGAGGCATCTTGGGCTTGAGCCCCAAGGTGCAGAAGAAGGTGGTAGCCACTTGATGTGAAGAAAGAGGAGACTGAGTGAACTCCAAGTCGGTCTCAAAAACAGGTGGCTAAAATATTGTGGCTCAAACATGGCTTTTATTGCACCTGCAATGTTTGTGACTGGGTGGCAGCCAATTTTTGGGAGCCATCACTATTTCCATGTCTTGATGATGTGCTGCTTCGTGGCGGGCAATCGAATAAATCCAATCGGATTCAGTGGCAGGCAGATGCAGTTTGATCACTTTGGTGCTGTTGTGGTCTCAATCTCCGACAGATAGGATGGGCTGACAAAAAGTCTGAGCATGAGCAGCTAGGTCAGGTGTTTTGTCGGTTAGCAGGGTAGTTCTGTCGTTTTGGACGTGTGCTGATTCGACCTTTGACAAGTGAGGTGAGAATGGCCGCCCGGTGCAATTAGCATGTTTTTTTTTGTGCACCCTGTCACCCTGACCCTCTCTTTCCCTCAAAGCAGGATTCGTTGAGGTGATAAGACATCTGAAATCCTGGTTGTTTCTTTGGGACAGCTGGTTCAGATTCTACAACAAGATGATCTATATATAAGACTAAACAAGTCGAGATCAATTCTAGACACCCTTACCAACCCTCACCAATCAAGAACCCGCCTTTTTGAACGGTGCGCCGGCGGAATTCTGCTCTTGCGATTTGGGACATCTCCGAGAATTGCTCCAGGTGTCCAGATGGTGCAATATGTTCATCAAGAGCAAGGTTCAAGAGCAAGGCAGGCCATGATTGTTAGAGTTTTTCCCATACCAGCAGAGTGGAATTGTCAATTAACCAGCGGTATAGTTGAATGATTGGCGATTCCTTCTCAGTTCAATCTTGGTTTGCTGGAACTTTCCCGATCAGCAATACATTAAATTGGTTGAAACGAATGCCAAGGGAGCCACTGTGCCACCTTTGCCCCTCGACACAGGGGAGCTGAAGAAGGATGATGTGCAAATGCTCACAGAGTGGGCTCCCATGTTCTTCGGCATTGACAAGGAAGTCTTGCAGGACTTGGTGAAAGTGGCCAACAAGAGCTTGCTACAGAACAAGGCCTGAATCGCGGTCTTCGCGGTCTTGGCCAGGAAAAGACGTTGTAATAAGTCATTTACAAGAGGATAGATGACAGGACTAGTGACTAGTGATTTATGATTCTCTATATATTAATTAGATTCAATGCGATTGGTGGCTGATGACGGTTACCCTTGACATTCTGAGACAAGTTGATTGTTGAAACAGCTGGATGTGGGTTATCACCAACGCGCAGACAGTTTTTGGATTTGATCAAGACTCCTGAGGAACTCCTCTTTTGAAGATCATCACACCATAGCGCTCTTGAGTTTTTCCGTGCAGGGAATCGGTGGCCAACATGCTTCTTCCTCCATGAGCTGTGGCTAGGAGAGCTCATAATATCGCACATGACCACATTGCCCCCCCACGCACCAACAAGCTCACCTACCTCTTTTGAACATGCTCAGACATGCACTTGTGATTTTTAAATTCTTGCTGCTCTTGGCTTCTGCACTCGTTTGGCGAAGACCGTAACACCTTGAAAAAGGACCGGATACCACGGGTCCATGGGTTGCTCCGTTCTTAGCGATGCCCTTTGTTACTAGTCGCAGGTCGAAAGCGAGACCGTTTCTTGTTGTTCCACCTCGCGGGTTGCCTCTCCCGAGCTTGTGACGGTCCCGTCAGGTGCTGAAGCTGTTGAACAAGCCGTCGGTGTCGCCAGAGGATTTGAACACCTTGAGAGCGGAGGTGTCGGAGTGGGATTTGGAAGTGGCGACGGATTTGGAACTGTCCAGGCCACAACTCAGGTGGGGCGGGCGAGGGGGGGCGGAGCCGATAAGTGCGATGTAAATAGATACAAATACTGTACAGTATACTTGTTGTTTCGGTGGGTCCTTGAGGTATTTGCCAAAACTTGCAATAATATAGAGAGGGAGAGAGAGAGAGAGAGAGAGAAAGAGCTTTTGAAGGTCATATCAGAGCATTACACCATGCATCACCATGCTATAGTCACCCTGTTTTTGTCCAGGAAAAGACCCGTCGTCTTGGGCAGATCCAAAAGACCTGGAGTAGAAATCAATTCGATCAACCACCAAGCGCTGCCCTCAGGTCACTCTTCAAAGTCGAGATCTCCGCAGTCCTGGAGGTGGGGAAACGCGTAGGGAAACCAACTGTTCTTGATGTTTTTGGTGTGTTGATGTCAAGATGTCAAGACTGGGTAAGACCAAGTATGTGCAACGTGTGAGAATCAGCCCTTTTGCACGGTTTCTGTAGTCGCTTTAGTCTCAGACTTGCCAGTCGCGCCCTGTCTTTGCGGTTAAATCCAAGTTGCCCCTACCAAAAACAATAAGTACGTTTATGTTTTAAAACAAAAAATATTGCGAGGTCTAAGTCTATAGTTTGTATACAGCAGTTATTCAGTGGTTTGATCCAGAAAGAGTCATCTACAGAAGCAGCAATTGTAGAGTATTGTGCCACGGGAGATTTAACAAACAAATCATTTGTTTCCCACCGCCTCTGACGAAGCACCGCGAGCCTGGTCCGACATCGCGACATCGCGACATCCCTGTCGTCAGGACGACGATTTGTCGGACGAGCAGAAGGTGGATGGCATCGATGCCTCCAGAGAAGCCTTCGGCTTGGCGGAGAAGGAGGCCAATCCGATCCGACTGCCGGGCCGCTTTCTTTGCCACCGGCCGTCGGGGCCGTGGTGTAAAATGGTTCACAAAACAAAGATGGTGTGGTGAACGAGGTGGTTGACTGTTGAGAAACCATGGAACCACTTCTTGGAAATCACTAGTTACCTGCTTGGACTTCCTGGTGAGAGTAACCAAGGCAAATACACACTTCTATTCAGTGTTTCTTGCTTGGCCACTATGGTTTGGTTGTTTAGATTTCTGGAAGTGGAACAGATCAAGTTTGTGGATTTTTCTAGAACTGGTCTTTTCCTCATCATGGTTTGCTTAGGACAGACAGACACACTTGAGAAGGTTGCTCCGTGGAGCGTGATTTCAGGTAGCTTCGCGGTGTGCATTAGCCCTTTAGGTGAATACTTAGCCCTTGACTTGATGCAACGGAAAGAGGTGCAAAGTCCGCTCAATTGAATGTTTCAACAAAATGCATTAGCTCTTTAGAATATGTTAAACAATTGGTGCAGGTACAGGAAACTGGCCAAGTTTCCCTTCCCACTCTTATCCACAGCTTCGTTGCGTGTGATAGGATAAGAGTGTCACACGCCCCTGCTTCTGTACAGAAACGCTTGTAGGGTAGATTAGAGAAACTAGGGTAGTGTCCTTGGAAACAGGAGTGGACACACACACACACACCTCTGGAAGCTCTTCCAGGGTTGTTTAATTGTTTTGAACTATGTTGGACATACCAAGAACAACTCCACCGATATGACATCTTCACCGATGCCAGGCGAAGGACGAGATGCACGACCTGATCCGAAGTAGGCGGACCGAGCTGTTTGTGGGTGTAGGTCGAACCCCCCCGCAAGGCTGGTTGACCTGGACCTTATAAAATCAACCGATTTCTTTGCAAGGGATGTCAACCTAGCATGGTTTGTAGGGTGATGTTTTGCTCCACAGCCGGGCTCAGTGTGGATCGATGTGGACAGAGTGACGTCTGCTGAAGTTCTACGGATCAGGGCCATGCCAAGATCTCCCCAAAACAAGAAAGCTACACTCGGATGGAGTTCCGGCGAAATCGCAGGGTTCTCTGAAAGACATCGGAAAAAGATTCGATCATACATAACATACTGGAACCCAAACAAGAACCTCTGTGGCCACCGCAGCTACTCTTGGTCACCGTAAATTCACTGCCTCAATCTGTCACTTGTTTGCTTGAGAATCGAACTGGCCGCCCTCACTGCCCACCCACCATGCATGCCTCATCCACCAACCCACCTCACTTTAGGCGGTGCGCTCCAATCAGGGTGGTGTTCGATCGAACACCGCCCCTGTGTGCGCGACGCTGCGCGTCGCATTTGGCAGGTGTCGCGCCTCCTTGGTGAACGCCTCCGGGGATTTGCTCCAAGAGAACCCCGGCGCGGCAGTAGATCAAATGCGGCGGCTGGAAACCTTGGCGGCCTTCGGTGTCTTGATCATGCACCGGACATGTTTTTGCGTGTGTTTGGAGCGTGTGCGGCGCGAAACTCGGATGGCTGACAGGTAGTCTGACAGGTGTGGTTTTAGGATGCTGATGTTCAATGATGTTCATATGGCTTCAGAATTGAGAGCATCAAGTCTTGGACCTAGAGCTTCTAAAGCTGTGTATCGCGTGCTCTAGGGATGAATGCTGCAGGTGCCGTAGTACTTCTCAGAAGCTTTTCCACTCAGCTGTTGATAGAAAAGTTCATGCATGAACCTTCCAACTTCGGGCATTTCACCATCTCAGCTAAAATGTGGCTCCAAGAATTCGACCCAGAAATTCACAGTACTCCCACAGGTGTATTTGTTTTTGTGCTTTTTGCTTTTCACGTGATCCATAATCAGGGGGTGTGGAGGTGTGTAATTGAGCCATAGCCATATAGATGGCATGCTGAATGCCGATATCCTTTGTATGGTGTGCCGGACCTGCTTGATCAAGCCATGGGATCTTCCCATTCTTGTCTCACCTCCCACTTCACTCGCTTCAGCATGGAAGGGGTTGGGACTCGAGACTCTGCTTTGCACCGCTGGAAGAGGTTCCTCAGGACTCATGTCATCACCCCAAAGCGGAACCGTGTCCCAGCGAAGCAAACACCTCTAAAAACACGGCGTGGTTGTTTGAGCGAAAGGGTTTTGTTCGCCCAGGCCTCTCCGCCGGTGTGGAATTCCAGGACGACTGGGAAGTGGCACCGGCGATGCGGCGGAAACTGCTCCAGACCTACCTCTCAGGGTGCAAAGGAAAGGCTCCGGTGACCTGGCAAAAACACATGCATCCACGCTTGTTTCCACAAAATGGTTTTGCCATCGTTTGAAGGGGTACAGTGGGTTTATGTATATATATATATACATATTATATACCTCCATCTACCATGATTGGATTCAACAGCCATGGCCATGCTCGGTGGCGTTTGACTCTCCAACCTCAGCCCCCAAAGGCCTTGAAACACGTTCTCAGAAGGTATGTGAATCCTTCTAACGCACTTGCTTTCTGGTGGGGGGTCCATTTCATCACCATGCTGAGGATATGACTATGCTCGAGCGCGTGCTCAAGTTATGAGGGTTGGGCATCTGAACAGCCGCAAGGCTTTGAGCTCAAGGAACAGCTCCAGCATGCACTATCAGATGATTACAGATAACAGATAACATATATATAAATATAACTACATGATGAAGTCTCATGACCAGACCAGGTTCAGTCAATGGGTGGATTTGTGGCTGCGTCAGCCCAGACCAGCTGGGGCCAAGCAGCCTCGCCCAGAGGCTGAAGTCTCGCTTCACTCTACTTTCCCACTTGGCTTTTGGGAGACGGGGGAACCACTGGGAACCACAAGACACACATGTCGCCCACAGATGTTGGAAACTCCTACGAGCCCCATGAGTTTTGTTTCATGGTTCTTTTTCCTTCAATGCGTGGGGTGTGGAGTGGCCATCAGAGGTTGGAGTCTCTGAGGCCTTGACCCGCTTGGCCCCAACTAAAGGCCTTGCTTCTGACAGAACAAGAGCCATTCTGAACAAACATTGAGCATGTCGACCGTGTCATTTGGGCACACTACTAGGACCAAGGGGTGTCCAATGGAATAACAACTGGTGTCAGGTCAATAGTCCGTTGCTGTTCTGTAGATGGGATTGAGTTCTGCTCTTGAGAATATGACGGTCAATGTCTCTTTCAAACGTACTGCTTGCTGCTCTGTGAACATCTCCTCGATCGTACAGAATCCTGAAGTAAGCTAGCATTCCCCACCTTAGTGATGTAAGATGTCAGATGTCTTCCATCAAACCCAATATTCCAAACCGATTTGAAGCCCAACCCTGCCCATTTGACCGGCATTTGGCTGATGGAGTTGTGAGCTGGGTCAAAACCCAGTAAAGTCACCAGTCACGTCACAAAGTGTCGGTAGAATGATTCAGGACACTGGCCATTAAGACAGTACAATGGGGCAGTTTGCGGTGTGGATGGCTTCTCGGTTTTCTACCCAACTGGGCAGGATTCTTGTGCACAACCCTGTCAAGTCATGTTTTGACCCAGAACATTGGAAGCTGCTGTTTTTTCAAGTTTCGGTGTCACTGCTGCAGTTTCTGCGCTGCTTTGACAGCCGCGTTGTCCGGGAAGCAGAAGAGCAAAAAAATGCTGTCAGCCATGGCTTCAGAGCCGTTGTCACAGGTGAAACCAACCATAACCAACCATATTAGAATTCATTGCGCAGTGTTCATTTGGAACCAGAAGTTTGAGATGGCTCCAAAGGATATGCACATTGTCAGACGATAACTAGACATCAATAGACCACTCAGATTGGCTTCCCAACAAGGATGTTTACTTTCCACATGTTGGTGTCTGTCCCACCATCCAGAGGTAACTGCGGTAACTGCTTGAAAAGCTGAAGGCAGAGAGGGCTCGAGATGGCTCGACTGGTTCGTTTCCGTCGTTGGCAACGCGGCTGTGAGGCGCTGGACGTGTTGCACAGCCATGGCTTCATCCACAGAGACATCAAGGCGTGCAGGACGCGTTTGTTGCGGCGAAGAACACACAGATGACATGAACATGAACATGCAGGACGACAGGGGGCTGAGTTTCCGACATGTCCCCTATACCTCATGTTGGAACATGATCATCCACTCACTGCAAAGTCTGTGCTTTTTCCCTGCCGGGAGTTGCACTCCGCTGTCCAGAGGAAACCTTGAATACCCGTTGACCAGCTTGCTGGATGCGGCTCGCCGCAAGCCACTGGTCAACTCGTAGAGGGTTTTCACACACCTGGATTTTGGCATACTGTAAAGGTGATGATACAAAAACAGCCAGAATCAGCCAGGATTCCATGCATTCCAGAGAATCAACTCCTTAGTTTGTCCTGACTTATTTGACTATGCAGTTTAAGAACTTGAAAAACCTCAAGGCTTCCAGACTCAAGGTGAAAACAAACCAGAAAAGAACAACTAAGGTCACCATATTTGTCACCAAACTCTTTTTGACTTGTTTTTTTCGGTTCGAAGTCCCTCGGTGGAACCGCCTCCTTTCAGTTCGACAACATGATTTTGGGCGCGGACGGCCACCTGAAACTCCTAGACTTTGGCCCCTTTGGCCTGCACGGGAAGCCGCGGGATGCTTTTTTCGGGGGTAGGCCGCTAGTAGAGGTAGGTAACGGTAGGTAGCTAGCAGTGGCTGGGTATCTACTACCTACAAGTAAGCTACTACTTAGGACGCAGGATAGCTCGCGCTTCTTCAAGGAAGCTCTGAAGACGTGCTCGCACTAGTGATTTGGTTCCTAGATTTTTTGGGAAACTTAAGGTTGGAGGCCGGTAGAACCCACCTCCCCGTGGCACGATCTGCCCAGCAAATATGGAGCGCACTTCTTTGGGTCGATGAAGTGTGGAGTAGTTTGGAGGTTCCCTTAGTCAGGTGCAACCGTTTGGCCCGATCGTCGTCCTTGGGACTGACAGCGTTTGGCCCGATGGTTCATCCTGCAGTTCTGGCCACTGGTCAGGCAGTAGTGATTCTTTGCCCCCTCAAAGCGGCGAAACAATGTGAAACACAATACATAGCCTCGAAAGAGACACGCAGACAGATCCTTGCAGAGCAACCTTCTTTTTTGTTGAGAGAGACTTGGATCAGCCTGGCTCAGCTCAATCAATCAAATGATCAGCTTTGCCCAAAGTTTCAGGTCACCTTGCCCCAGTTCCTGACGAGGTCAACCTTCTGTGAGAAGGACTTCCAAATACCATGGTGTCATGTGTGTTTGGGGGGAGAGGAAGCTTTCTACTCAGTCCATTCATCACGAAAGCTAGCCTTAGCTAGCTGGAGTTGCTCTTGCTTTAGCAAGTTAAGTGACGGGGTGGACGCACCTCAGAAACCTCAAATAATTGATTAAATCAATCTTATGGACCCCCCCCCCGCGGGTTCGACTCCCCCCTGCGCGCGGTGAGCGGGACCACCAAGCAGCTGCAGCACACCAAGCAGCTGCAGCAAACCACAAAGGACCAGCAGCAGCAGCAGCAGACCACCCAGCGGCAGCAGCAGCAGCATACCAACCAGCGCCGCAGCAGCAGCAGCAGAGCACCCACCGCCGCAGCAGCAGCAGCAGACCACCCAGCGCCAGCAGCAGCAGCAGCAGCAGCAGCAGACGACCCGGCGCCAGCAGAGCACCCAGCGCAGCAGCGCCCATCCCTGACGACCAGACTCGCGTTCACCCCCTAGCTAGCTTTCGTTCACCCCCTCTGGCCTCAAGTTGAGAATTAGGATGAATATTCAGGTGCTTAGGAAGACCCCGGAGATCTTCCTTGCATTTCCTCTTAGCGAATCACGCAACACATCTAATCCATCATGATCGACCGAGAGCGGAAGCGCGGAAGCGTCCATCCAGCGAGGAACCTAAAAAAACCTCTCAGGTCTTTGCCGTGCGGATCCATCTGTGGCCGCCTGGCAAGCAACCTTTTGGCAAGGCGATTAGAAGGTACCAGTGGTTCTGGCTTGCTATGGCTGGCTATGGGTTGCTCCACCTTTCACTGGTCTCCTCAAGGACCCTATGATGGTCATATCCTGAATGGTTTCTTAATCGCTTGCTCCGGCCCAGCCCGTTCACCGCACACACTCACTGAAATTTTCCATACCCTGCCCATTACAAGACCTGTTATAAAGTTTCCTTCCAAGCAAGGAATGAACATCAATTAGGGCCTTAGGCCTTAGGGATACAAATCTACATCAGGCTCCAGGGTCTAATCAGATCTTCTTGGGGCTCCTTCAGTTTCACACCTATCGCCACGCCACGCCGTGCCATGATCGTCTTACGGGTTGGTCGCTCCAAGGAGCTGGAGGAGCCGGGGAAGATCAAGCCAAACCCCAAGAGTTCGGAGCCCTGGTGTCGCCCGATGGTTGGCCCGCCCAGCCCAGTGTGTGATGTGATCCCCAAATAGATAGTGGCACCGGGGTCCAATAGATGTTTAAACATTTTTAGTGGAGATCGACTTTTCTAGTTGAGATCTAATTTGGGGTTCTCTTCTTATTTAAGTAAAGGCGCCTACTATCGCCTACTTGATGAAGTAAGGGTGAGGGCAACTAGCCGCTACTACCTACAGTAACCGGACGCAGGATAGCTCCTTCTTCAAGGAAGCTCCCCCCCGCTGACCTGAAGGACCTAAAGGCGGTGGGAGGGAGCTTCCTTGAAGAAGCGCTCGCACTATTCATTTGGTTCCTAGGATTCTAGGGAAACTGTTCTCTCTTTATGTGTAGGATGCGTCAGCTAACGAGGCTGCTGTGTGCTAGACGCGGCTTGTGGATGTTTGTGGTTTTCCAAACTGGAGCGAGACACTGAACATCCCAAGCAACCGAACTTTTGTCGGGTGTGAAGTGTGAAGCCCCAAATATCAAACATCTAGGATTGATGCGTTTACCGAGATGTTCGACAACCGCACTGCGTAGCCTAGGAGTATCTCAGTATCTTACTGGACTGGAAATCCCCATCAAATCTTCTCCCAAGTCAGCCACATTTTGTTTGCAACTGTGAAATCTGACACAATCCTTTGTCACAGAGCCCCATTAGGGAACCTGCTCCCATACAGCTAAGAGTGTTGGTTGCCTTGTTTTTGGTGGGAGTTTTGGGAAGACCCCCCACATGCTGTGTTTGCCATTCACGCAGTGCAGAAGTGATTCTGGGGATGTGGTGAGGAAGACCAGAATTCACTCGACATTGCTCCAGGCATGGTCCTCACCAAACGCCGTGAAATGGCTACGCAGGCGCTGGCACCCCGACACCCACCAGCTTGCTAATGTTCACACACCGAGAGTATATGCACTTATATATATATATATCTTGCTTGGAGG